CGTGTATAAATAGGTATAACCATAAGTTATTTTACCGCTATTTATCTTTTTTATTTTGAAAATATTGTTTTTTGTTAATATTAAATTAATTATTATAATAAACATAGATTAAGATGCTATTTTAGTCCATATTCTTCCAGCTTTGGTTCATTTGGTCTTTGATCTACTTTCAAAATGTTCATTTTAATTCTTGTACTTTCAACTTTGATCCACCTTAGTCCCATGTACTTTCAAAAAATATTTACTAGTAACAAAATCAATTAAAATGTATTATTATTTTAATAAAAATTAATATTAGCACACTATTTTAACTAATATATTTATAATGAGCTAGAAATAAGAAAGAGTATTTTAGTTATTTTTGGACATTGAACCCATTTCATATGATGGGAGTTGCCCGTGTATTGGGCAGATTCACTTAATTGAACCTTTGAGATTTATAATTAATTTTTTTTAAATTATGTAATCTAGTAGAAATTTTAATAATAATATTTGTATACTTTTAATTTGAAAATATAAAATTAACTAATTTTTTAATACTAATAAGTTTTTTTTATTGAGATTAGTTAGATTTCTAATTAGTTGAAAAATATTCTTTACCAGTTGTTACTCTGGTTGATATCTATTAACTATTTTTTTTCTAATTTGTGACATCTGTTAACTATTTTTCTTTTAAGTGTGACATATGCTAGTTATTTTTCTGTGATATGTGACGCGTATATAAATAGGTGTACAAAATATCTTTTTTGTTTTGATAATATTGTTTTCTGTTAATGTTAAATTGATTATTACAATATATAAAGGTAAAGATATTATTTTGGTTCCTATTCTTCTAGCTTTGGTTCATTTGATCATTGATATACTATCAAAATGCTCATTTTGATTCTTGTATTTTTAACTTTAATTCACTTTCAAAAAATATTTACTAGTAACAAAATCAATTAAAATTTATTATTATTTTAATTAAAAATAATATTAGCACACCATTTTTAGCTCATATATTTATAATTAGCTAGAGATAAGAAAGAAGTATTTTAATTATTTTTAGATTCACATAATAGAGTTTTATATTAATTTTTTTTAAAATTATGTAATCTAGTAGAAAATTTAAAAATAATATTTGCATACTTTTAATTTCAAAATATTCTATTAACTAATTTTTTAATACTAATAAGTTTTTTTTAGATTAGTTAGATTTCTATTTAGTTGTTAATATTTTGTTGGTTAAGGAGTTGTTACTCTTGTTTGATAGTTAACCATTTTTCCCTGATTTGTGATACCTGTTAACCATTTTTCTCTTAAATGTGACATGTGTTAGCAATTTTTCTATTACGTTTAACACGTGTATAAATAAGTGTACAGTATAGAACCAGAAGTTATTTGACCATATTTTATCTTTTCTGTTTTGATAATATTGTTTTTTGTTAAATTGATTATTACAATAAACAAATGTTAAGATACTATTTGACCCCTATTCTTCTAACTTTGGTTCATTTCGTCCTTAATTTACTCTCAAAATGCTCATTTTGGTTCAACTTTGATAAACTTTAGTCCATGTACTCTCAAAAAATATTTACTAGTAACAAAATCAATTAAAATGTATTAGTATTTCAATAAAAAATAATATTAACACACCATTGTAGCTCATATATTTATAATTAGCTAGAAATAAGAAAGGAGTATTTTAATTATTTTTAGATTCACTCAATCAAATCTTTGAGATTTATATTTAATTTTTTTTAAATGATGTAATCTAGTAGAAATTTGAAAAATAATATTTGTATACTTTTAATTTGAAAATATAAAATTAACTAATTTTTTAATACTAGTAAGTTTTTTTTTATTGAGATTAGTTAGATTTCTAATTACTTAGTTAGTATTCTATTGGGTAACGAGTTGTTACTCTTGTTTGACATCTGTTAACCATTTTTCTCTTAAATGTGACATGTGTTAGTCATTTTTCTCTTATGTGACACGTGTATAAATAGGGTACAGTATAAAACTAGAAGTTATTTGACCACATTTTATTTTTCTGTTTTGATAATATTGTTTTTTTTGTTAATAATAAATTGATTATTACAATAAACAAAGATTAAGATACTATTTGGCCCCTATTCTTCTAGCTTTGGTTTATTTGGTCCTTAATTTACCCTCAAAATACTCATTTTGGTTCAACTTTGATCCACTTTAGTCCCACATACTTTCAAAAAATATTTACCAGTAACAAAATCAATTCAAATGTATTAGTATTTTAATAAAAATAATATTAACACACCATTTTAATTCATATATTTAGAATTAGATAGAAATAAGAAAGGAGTATTTTAATTATTTTTAGATTCACTTAATCAAATCTTTGAGATTTATATTTAATTTTTTTTAATTATGTAATCTAGTAGAAATTTTAAAAATAATATTTGTATACTTCTAATTTGAAAATATAAAGTTAACTAATTTTTTAATACTAGTAAGTTTTTTTTTAATTAGATTAGTTAGATTTCTAATTATTTATTTATTTTTTGTTTTTTTGACCAGAGATTTCTAATTAGTTAGTTAATATCATGTTGGCTAACGAGTTGTTACTTTGTTTGACATATGTTAACTATTTTTTCCTGATTTGTGACCTATGTTAACCATTTTTCTCTTAAATATGATATCTATTAGCCATTTTTCTCTTATGTGTGACACATGTATAAATAGGAGTAAACCAGAAGTTATTTGACCACATTTTATCTTTTCTATTTTGATGATATTGGTTTTTATTAATATTAAATTGATTATTACAATAAACAAAGGTTAAGATACTATTTTGGCCCCTATTCTTCTAGCTTTTGTTCATTTGGTCCTTGATTTACTCTCAAAATGCTCATTTTGGTTCAACTTTGATCCACTTTAGTCCCATGTACTTTCAAAATATATTTACTAGCAACAAAATCAATTAAAATGTATGAGTATTTTAATAAGAAAATAATATTAACACACCATTTTAGCTCATATATTTATAATTAGCTAAAAATAAGAAAGGAGTATTTTTGTTATTTTTAGATTCACTTAATCAAATCTTTAAAATTGAATTGCATTTTTTTATTTATGAAATTAAAATAATATAATATAACAATATAAAAATAATATACATAAATAATTTTATTTATTTTATTTAAATAATTTATGAGATTTATATTAATTTTTTGTTTAAATTGTGTAATCTAGTAGAAATTTTAAAAATAACATTTGTATACTTCTAATTTGAAAATATAAAATTAACTAATTTTTTAATAAGATTTTTTTACTGAGATTAGTTAGATTTCTAATCAGTTAGTTAACGAATTGTTACTCTTGTTCGACCTATGTTAACCATTTTTACATGATTTGTGACATCTGTCAACCATTTTTCTCTTAAATGTGACATATGTTAACCATTTTTCTCTGATGTGTAAAACGTGTATAAATAGGTGTACAGTACATAATCAGAAGTTATTTTACCACATTTTATCTTTTCTATTTTGATATCTTCTAATAAAAAGATTATATAACTTTTATCAATTGATGTGTTTTTATTATAAAACATTATAATATAATTTTTTTGTTAATATTAAATTGTTGTATTGTATACGAGAATCAAAACCTTTAAACTTATCTTTATTTGTCTGGATGCAATGTAGTTTTGAGTGGCGTATTTGTGTGGTATGGCCGATATTTTTATGGTCAAATTTGTATAATTGAGACATAAAAACTGATGTGGGGAAGTTGTACGTACTGCAAATGGTGGCACCATTTTCACATTGAACAGCTTATTGTGTAAAATTAAATTCTGTGGTGTCAATATAATATTAGCTGTCAATAATTCACTTATTGGGCGATGCTTCAAACTTTGGTTCTTATGTAATGTATGTTTCAATTATTTCCATTGCTGCCCCTTTTGAAGGAGACCATGAATTATGAACCCAACATACTTTCCTGCACTGGGCCTTCAGGAAAACCAAAACCAACCCATTCATTATATTTACTTTAGTCGAGGGTGTATCTACTACAGTAATATTACATGTAAGTCCGTAATCAACTTATGGGTAAAAAATCGAGCAATGTGAATCTAGAGATATATTTTTTGATGGAGTGATTATGTTAGCCTAGTTGTTTTTCAAACTATGCTTTTTTTTTTTTTATGGGATGATGTTTGATCAAGAAAATAAGTCTACATCAAAGCTCGGAGTGATGATATGACAAATGAAGGGACGTGCAAAATAGAGTTAGCTCTTCGACGTTCAAGTAAATATTAATCCGATCTATGCTTGAGTGAGCATATAGTTTATGTACCTAGTGCCAGAGGCGGGCATCTCTATTTATAGCGGTGAGCTTCCGACAGCACTTCAATAACTCTCCAACCGTTCGAGTAACATGGCGTGTGTTGTCTGAGATTTTGTTTGGTGCTTAGCTTGGACCTGCAGATATTCTTTGAAAAGGTCGGCCAAAGTGTGAAATTTAGTTCTGTTCGAGTGCATCGGTTGCTGAGCTACTTGGAATTCCAAACAGTAAACCTCTTTCTGACGTTGATACGTGGCTGACATAATTTAGCTCAAACAGCTAAAGTTATTATAAAGTCATATACAAATTGATTAAAATATATATATATATGGGTAACTCATCATAAGCATTTTAGTTGCATGATTCTTTAATTTGTAATACAATATTCTAAAAACAACATGGATAATGTGATCTTTTTATTGTTACAGAGTAAAAAAGAACTTTAACATTACAATGAAATTGCAATTTATAACCCATGTTTTGCGAAGGCATGAAATTAAGTTGATAATAGATTTCCGCAACGTTTTCAATAACTATAATTTCACCGTCTCCATAAACATTGATATTAATAGTAATTTTCTTTTCTTTGAGATAGATTGATATTAATAGTTATTTACTTAACGATTCCTTTTAAGAAGACGAGCAATTTTTGGAAGCAAATTGAATTGAAAAAGCCAGTAGCTATGAACTCTCATGGAGAATCAGAAAATTGAAGTCTCCTGTGTTTTGAGTGCTGCAACATATGGTTCTAACAAAATGAGGAAGTTGAAGTGCGTAGGCATAATAAACCATTTTGATGATTGAAAATCTGAAGAAAGAAAAGAAAACGAGGCAGAGAAATTCAAACAAACGACAACCAAGTGATGACGATGGGGCTTCTCACTCTGTTAGTTCCATCTTTCCAGATCAGCCCTCCAAATTCCGGCATACTCTGCCTCTTCTTTGTCACAAAAGTGATTTTGTAAGACAGCTTCTGATATCTCCTCGTGAAGTTCAGATTCTCCGGCTCAACTTTCACGGCGGCGCCCTTGAACGGACTGACCACCGCGCGGTAGCTGGACGCTGCGTGGCCGACGTTGGTGACGGTTCTGTGAAGGGTCAGGGAAGTGATGGAGGTTTTCTCAGGGAAAACGGCGGAGATCGCCGGGTAATTCAAATCTCCAGGGTTGCGGAGAAGGCCATGGCAGGATCTGTTCGTATATTTGGAGAAGACTTTGAGCTGAGAAGGGGTTAAATCCTGCGTACAGAGGAATTCGAAGTAATCTTGCGGCTGGATTTCGTAAACCAACCCAGGGTCGAGGGCTTTTCTAGGGTTTATGTGGCCGGCGCCATGGTCGTACGGACTCGACGGCGAGGAGACGGAGGCATCTTTGAGAGGATTATACGTGTTGTCATGGACATACGCGGTGGTCATGAGCGCCGATTTGATCGCCGACGGGCTCCAATCGGGATGCTTCGATTTGATCAGAGCCGCGACGCCGCTCACGTGAGGGCACGACATTGAAGTTCCAGAGAGAATGTTGAATTTAACCCTTCGG